TACAAGAAAGATATGGAAGTGCTGGAGCCTGTCCAAAGAAAGGCCACAAGGATGATCCGAGGGCTGGAGCACCTCCACTATGAAGATAGACTGGGAGAATTGGGGCTGTTCAGTCTGGAGAAGAAAAGGCTCCAAGGGGACCTTATTGTGGCCTTCCAGTACCATAAGGGGGCACACAGGAAAGCTAGTGAGGAACTTTTTAGGATGTTGGGTAGTGATAGGACTAGGGGGAATGGAGCAAAACTAGAAGTAGGTAGATGCAGATTAGATGTTAGGAAGAAGTTCTTCACCATGAGGGTGGTGAGACACTGGAACAGGTTGCCCAGGGAGGTGGTGGAAGCCCCATCCCTGGAAGTTTTTAAGGCCAGGTTGGATGGAGCTCTGAGCAACCTGATCTAGTGGGAGATGTCCCTGCCTATGGCAGGGGGGGTGAAACTAGATGACCTTTCAGGTCCTGTCCAACCCTGACAATTCTATGATTCTATGTGTTTATGGCCTCCGAGAGTGACTGCTCGGTCATATTTGTGCAGACACAATGAACAGACTTCTTGGGAACAACACATATGATCAAGCATAATGTGCAAAAATGTATGCTTTATTTTTACACCAAAACTCTTTGTATGAGGCTGGATAGGAATTCATCTTGTCTTAATTGAGTCACTTACATGATCTGAAATTTGGTCAAGAAAACTGGAATTTCTATATGTAGAGAAAAACACTACAGCCCCAGAATGTATTTTTATCCTGGTATTACTGTAATAGCAACCCTTCAGATTTCTGTTGATTGAATCAGTCCCCCAAAATTATCTTTTTATTGGATGAAATTTCTCTTGCTTAATCTCAGACAGAAAATGAACAGTAAAAATGTGTTCAGTCATTTTTATGTCATCAACAAATCACCAAAACTAACTCTGACTTTGAAACACGTTACATGTGTGTGTCCATAAGGAGTTTACTAGGACAATATATCTCTTATACTCCAGTTATTTAAGTAACTTTATTTTTATAGGAAATTAAATCAGGTAAAGAAGTAAAGTTTCACTGACTATAATTGACCACAACCCCACAATAAAACAAAGCCAGACTCCCAAAGCCTTAAAATGATCTCATTTATCTTAACAAAAAAAATAAAATAAAATTCAAAACCACAAAAAGCATTTTGGTCAAATTTGATGTTACAAAACAGTTTTATGTTTATTTAATACCATGTTCTCCTACTCTGTAGTTATATTGTATATTTTCTGAAAAAATAATATGCAAACAGATTATTGCATAACACCATCTTTTCCAAATTAGCCCAGAAATATTCACTAAATTAATTTTTAACACAATAAGAAAAGTGTTTTAACATTTTACGTTTAAATTCCAGAGAGCTTTATCACATAAGATATTCTGTGGAAAGCAGCACCTATTTACTTCTTTGTAAGCCGTTACAAAGATGGAACTGGCCTCAGACAAAATAACAGAGGTGATTAAAACACAAGCTGAATAAAGAAGTTCCCCAAGTGGGTTCTTGTGGAGTGAGTATTTCACTTGGCTGTATGTGTGGAATATTTTGCATAATGGTCTACAGACCTCCTAGGATTTTGCTATCACAGAAAACACATACACATAGTGCTGAGACACAGAGAAGTGGTATTTCACATTATGTCTATGCTTGTTTAGGGCTTACTGTCTACGTGGAATGAGTAAAAGTAATATTAAAAGAAAATAACTACTAAACAGAAAATATCTCATTATGCTAACAAAGAAAAATACTGTATTTTAGTTTGGAGACATTTCAAGCATATACAGCATTTACATAATAAAGCTCAGGTGTGTTGTTTTGTTTGTTTTTTTTTTGTGTATACTAGCTAAAGAAGCAGTCATGAAACTGTTGTATGTTGGCTTGAAACTTGACAACCACCTAGTGCATTCTTCTTGCTCACCTTTTAAAATTACACAATCTGAGATGGATACATTGCACTGCTGGAGTTTACTATATATATTTCAAATTTACAAAAATACAGAAAAACAAGATTTCTTGCACTCAGATACTGAGCATTAACCCTTTGAGTACTAATTCCCACCTGCAACACTGCAGAACACATTCATCTGACTTACATGTTTTTATAACATTCTAACAATTATAATTATCATCTTTATGTACACTAGTAGGAAATGCATTCCTACACATATTAAAAAAAACAGGTAGAGACTAATGAACTGCTAATAAAATAATAACAGGCTGACATATGTGAAGATTTCTGCAACATATATACAGAGAATCACAGACTGATGAACTCTCAAGGGAATTTCCTATTTCCTCTCTGCAGCAATGGAGCAATTACACAGCCTGTGTTAAGACATGACAGCAGACTTTCTCATATGGCCATACAGAATTGTGCTTTTTCACTTATTTATGGATGCACTGCTCACTTTCCACTGTAGGCATTTTTTCTCACAGATCTATGCTCCTTTTCATTTTCTGCAATCTATTATTAATCTGCACCCCTCCTGTCTGAAAAAAAAAGTGGGTTTATTTCTTATAGGGATAATTGCGATGCAGTTCTGTACTGTGAGTTGATGCTTTGTGTCCAGATGTTCATGGAAACATGAAAAAAATTTCTTGCCAAGAGCCTTGTTAATAGAGAATGGTAGTGACCCTAGCATGCCCTATAATTCAGCAGAAGTCATGAACATAAAGAACTTTTGTGAAGGTCAAATTGCATTGAGGGATAAAGAGAATCTGAAATTTGCTAGGAGAGGAAATGAATTTTCAGAAAGCAAGTGGTGAAATAATAGATGGACTCCTGGAAGGTGTGTTTTTGGAAAATGACTGAACTTTCTCTTTCCTGACAACTCTGGACTACATTAATTGTGTGACTAAACAGACAATATCATATATACAGTGTCTCTGAACTAGAATAAGCTACTTTAAGAAAATGACTGTAGTCCTCAAAGAGTTAATGGTAAAACTACTCTGTCTTAACAGACGTGGAAAGGTTATCATGAAACAGCTTACAGATTTGTTCAAAAGGCATACTTTACAAAGAAGTGTAAAACTTGTTGAGACAATTGCTATTACACTGCACAGTGTCACATACAATGAGTAGTGCATGCTCTGTAAAGACATTAGAGTGGACCCTTATCAAAGCTATCATATAACCTTATACAAAGGATTGTGCCACTTAAACTAGTGCAGAGTGATTTCTTTTTCCCCGTAGATTTATAATGTTCTAGATTAATATCAATAGGGTTTTTCACAGCCTTGTACAACACTTTTTTTTTGTTCTTTTTTTTTTAAACACACGTAACACTAGAAAACAGCAAATGGTATATCCTGACATATGTCATGCAAAATACAACCTATACAGCACCATAGATGTAACAGAGACATTACCTAGCACTTCTCTCCAACAAGAAAAAGGACAGAACAGAGACTGTACATTACACGACTTTACAGGCCATATGCTACAGAAGATTGTTAGAGGCAGTATCGCTTTTGTAGATCTAAAAAGCTGTAATTTTATAAAATCCTGTTTATAATTTCTACCATAGTCACTTCTGATTAAAATCCATGGCACAGTAATAATATTTTGATACAAAAATAAATAAGTAGAAGTTTAAGATGCTGATATGTTTATAAAAACTGTCCAAAATTACTACAGAATTAAAGCAAAACCAATGAATAAAAATGATGTATTTCTAAAGAAATGTTGTTCTGTGTAACAAAAGGATATTGCCTCTCATATTCAATTGTCTAGACATAATTTTCTAATTATCTTTCAGAATAATTTTATAACTTTCAGTTAAAAATAGCTTCACTTCAAAAACTGTCACAATCTCTCTTTTAGACTCTTACTAAGAAAATGGAAATAAAGATGGAAAAGCTGTGCAATTTGCTGATGAGCTACACAAATGTCATCTTATTTCGTTTGGAACAAAACCAAAGGTAATGATGGTTTTAGGTGAAAAAATACATTATGATGGCCCATGAACTACACAGTAGTTTCATTTTTCCAAGGGCCAGTTTTGATATTTCCTGTACTATCTGAGCTGTATATCATGGCTTCATGCACGTTTCCCTTGAGAATTCCATTGTGATTTGTCGTGTTAAATGGCAATGACTGTGTCCGTGGGTGCATTTCAAAATGAGCTGGGTGGTGCACAGTGTCACTTTCTGGCATTTTAGCACAACTATATATTACAGTACTTGCATCGCTGCTTTCGGGCTGGTTGACAGTAGGATATGGATCGCTTTTTGAACAGCAGGCCCGCCTGTGGCCTGACTGGCTATCGTGCGTACTGTGGGGACTGTCTGTGTGTGAGCTGTGAATGCTGCCATCGATGCTTGAAGGAATATGATAGGCGTACTCTCTTTCACCCGCAGATCTGTGCCGACTGAAATAACGTGGCTTAGTTCTGCTTTTCAGACATCTATGAATGTGCATATTGGGTCTGAAGGTTCCCTCGTTGTGGACATGAATGTGGGCTTCATCATCAAGTAGCTGATCGCAGTGCATTTTCGCACAACACGGTGTCACAGGCGAAAGGCAATTCACGTGGTTTTGAACCGCTTGTAGGTTAGTAAGTTTGCAGTGGCTAGCTGCTGGGTGATTAAACACAGCCGCTTTGTTCGGACACGGTGACTCCTGAAGACAAGGTGCATGAACTTGAGTGTCGCCATTGACATTAACCTTTGGGCGCACATTAACTTGGACAGAATAGGTGTTTCTTCTAGACGGGCAACAGGACCACCAGCAATGCCACACGTCGTCTCGTTTTGCACAGTGATGGATCAGGATGAAAAGTCCCAAGGTCACACAGAAGGCTCCATAAAGACAGCTAAATATCATATCCAAGAAATGACCTTGAGATACCGCAAGTGCTCCAAAGGTCCAAGTGGCAGTAAACAGGAACAATGTGAATGCTGCAGCTCGAAGCTGAGCCTTAAATGAATGCTCATTTTCCAGTAAGGAAGAAGAAATCATGGAGCAGGTTGCCTGGGGAACAGACACAGTGTCTGTAATATGACCATGGCCCACCTCAGTACTTGGTATTCTCTGTGGATCTTCTGTCTTCTCCTTTAACTCATACTTGCGTTCAGGATGGCGCTTCAGCTGCACGTACGTGCAGAGAAAGTAAACACAGGTGACTAGCACAATGAATGCCACTGGCCCGTAAAAAGCACCGAGACTAGGCTCCCATGCCATCCAGCAACTGAAAAATGACAAAAAAGAGAGTCAAGAACATTTTATAGTCCACATTAGATATGACGGACAACCGATTGATGTGAACCTGCGCTTTCTGACTAACTTGTACGGCGCAACACTATCTCAGAAGTTTGATATGTCTGTTGTGGAAAAAGGGACTGTGTCTTTAATACGAATTAAGCTGAGGCATCACTTTCGTATTTTTTCAATAGAATAAAATGTCTAGTGTAATTTACAGGACATTAAAGCTGAAAATTTCCAAGAAATGTAGGTCAGTTTAGAATCTAGAATTGCAGCAAAATATAAAACCATTTCCATCAACCCTTTTTTCTACTATTAAAATTGTCAGTGCTAATACTTTGATTAAAAAGCAAACGAGGCATCGTTTATACAACCTGTGTGAGCAATAGAAATATAGATTTTAGATTTTACTGTAGATATATTTTTTAATAATGTAGATATAGATTTTACTAGTCTGTAGCATCAATGAACTTCGACACAAACTCTTAAGCCTGAAGATTGTTCTTATATAATTTTCTTGTTGCCAAACTAGAGAACAGCCTGAGTAATAAGTATAAGCTAATATAGCTGTTATTAGGTTGTACTCTAAATATTGCCTGAATTTCTGGAAAGGGGAATAAATTCCTTACCTGTTGGAGTAGGACAAGAAGTAATGGACTTAAACTGCAGCAATAAAAATTTAAATTTGTTTTTTCCAAAAAGTTTCCTAGCTATTAGGACAATTAGAATAATAAGTTCTTGGCATAAAGTCTAGTCTATTCATTATGGGAGCATTTAAAGCACCTCAGATAAATAACTGTCAGGAATGGTTTGGATATAGCCAATTTCCCACTGAGCCAGAAAGATAGACCAGGTGATCTGTCATGATCCATTAGAGCTCTAAAAGTGACACTGCATGACAATTCATACTCATTTAGGTATGTGTGATAGGTTTCAGTCCCTCCAATATAGAACGGAATTTTCTGATATCGCATTCTTGTCAAGCTAGGAATTTTCTACAACTTACTATAAAAAGGGCAGAATTAATTTTTCTCCTAGGCTGCGAACCTCTCAGCTAAAAAGAGGCTGCTCCACTGGGTATTTATCACAAGAAACTGCAGAATAAGTACATTAATTTTTTAAAAATCCAAATCTTAAACAAAAATATATACACATTCATTAATGAACTTAGAGACACTCCAAGTATATATTTTCCTGTCAGATATGCACATGAAAAGACTCGCTGGAAGATCTCTGTGAAAAGATAGGTAAGTTACCACCTATATTTAATTGGCTAAGCTACATGAATACTTGAAGTACAGCTGAAGGCTGCATATTTGATCCAAAGTGAAGAATGGAATGTTCCCCAGTGGAACAGTCTCTTGGGATGCTCTTAATTCAAGTGGAATCTCATTGCGGATCACTTAAAGAATCCGTTTTGTCAAAAAAAGTTCAAATTTGTGCATCTCCATTTACTGTACTAATACTATTAAAAAATTAATATGGCATATAAGTCACTATGCTGTTGTTGAATTAAAAGCTTTTTATTCTGCCTTACAAACATCGCTCACCTGTTTTCTGTACAGACTGTGGTACCAAGTATTGATTGGCTATGATTAAAGAGTTATAACTTCTGCAACTGTGCCAAAATGAAAAATGCATTCATGGACATAAATAAGTTTTTTAACATAGTGTTGATTATAAGTGATTGTCTAATTGGATGTTTGAAAAAATATATGAATATGAGTTAGGCCCTAGGCAGAATGAACAGTTAGCCATGGTATGTACTAATTTATTACCTGAATTTAAATTTCAATTACCTATAAAAATGCCTTTAAGGAGCCAAATGCTCTCTCACAGGCCATTCTCCTTTGTTTCCACTCTTCTTACCCAGAACCTAACTAGCTTCAAATATATTACAATAGATGCTCAAAGCAGTAACTAAGAGTGATGTCCTCTAGAGTACTAGTGCTGGCAGAGTACTAGTGTATATATTAGTGTGCCAATCATTTCCATGCTGAACAGAATGTATTTAACTTTGCAGTCTGATTCATTTTCTGCCTGACTTTTATGGAAAGACTTATAGTACTTCATTGATATTTCATGTCATGAATTAATAATGATGTGATACCTGTACAGCTTGTGGAGATATACTGAAGACTAACACACTAGTACAGTAGAGGGCTGTATCAGGATCGCAAGACATTGTGTCTGGAACATTTCTAGGTGGTAAAAAACCAAAATAATCTGTTTTTAAGGGAGGGATGGGAGTAGAGTAGGGGAAGGAGAGATTTTTAACTTGTTCTTTTTTCACATAATCATTTGTAAATTACTTTAAATAAGTAATCTGAAAGATATTAGTTCCAGGTATATAATGAATTGAAAGTATTCAGTTCATTAGTAGCTCTATTAAATATGCCATCCATTAGGTATTTTTAATATTCTTTCACTTACTAAGATGTAAATGAGAAGTGATTCTTTTGACAGTAATGGAGTCAAATTGACAGAGGTGAAGCAGCAAGCCTCAGATTAAGTCATTGTTCTTTCATAGCTATTATTTAATAAAATTTCATAATAAACATCATACCAAATAGCATGCCTGTACCCTTTATGAAAACAGTTACATTTATCACCATAAGAAAGAGTCTTTTCCTTAAAAGTTTTATGCTAATAGTTTATACTTACTATGGTGCATTGCCTTCAATCCCATAATTATTGATATTGGTTGCTGCTGTAATCCCACATATAATAAAAGGAACACCACCACTAATCAGGTAAAATCTGTTGAGAGATAATAACTGATATTTTAATTTGCCTCACTTGTAGTCATATATTGCTTTTAAAATAATTGTACCTTCTAGAGTTATGTTTCTAAAACCAGAAAAGCAAAGAGTGAAATACTGTCACAATAAACATTGTACTTTATGAAGCAAACAGCTGAAAGCTTAATATTTATATGGACCAACTTTTAACAATCTCTTGATTTACATCTTTAGCAAATGCAATTACTATTGTAGTCATATGGAGAACAAAACCTTGTCTAAGGAAAGAACCTGCATCCCAGATAAAGTTCACCTAGATATTTATACTTAATAGTTATTAAATATGTAAGCATTATAAATTAAAAATATTCAGACAAACAGCTGTATTCACTTTAACCTGAAAACGTTACCAGGGAAATTCAGTAAAATCACAGAAACAATTTCCTAACTCCTAGATGACAAAAGAATTCAGTTAGGCAAAGCAAAAAGTGCAGTCCACTTGGCAAATTTTTATTTTTTCTGCACAGAGGAGCAATCTGGAGGAGTCTGAAGGATTAAATACCCCTTTGCACACATCACCCTTTCCTTCACTCATTCAACACCAAGCCTTGCAAATGCATTAAAATGTGGGGGCCTCTAAGACCTCAGCAATCTTCATCTTATAAATATCAAAGAAGAGTGGTAATCTAAATGTTAATCTCTCTGTAAAGACCTGTATTTGAAGACTAAAAACATATAGGGTCACACCCCTTTAACCAGTTAAATGCCACTGAACTACTTGGAAGCAGCAGTCATTCTATGGTACGATCACTAGGCTACATTAAAGTCCTAGGGGATGTCTCACCTAAGTTGGCATCCTGCATTCAAATTCAAAGCTCAGCAAAATAAATCATCATCATATTTTCCAATTATAAAAGCAAAAGACAAAATTATGCATGGAGCACAGGACTTCCACCACTGTGGTCTCTGAGGTGGAGTGCATCAGCCCAGTGCATGTGAGGCTACAGCTGGAAGGAATGCTGCTTAAGGACAAAAGGGAAAATGCTCCACCAAACCTAGAAGCTCAGCTGGTCCTCTGAACATCCTGACTAATTTCCTAGTTTAACCAATGCTTTTCTGTCAGGAAGTTAGTTTCTTTTCCAGTCACTCCTCTGGTGCAGGGAGCAATATGCTTCCCAACCACTGCTATTATATTGTCTATCAGGACAAAGAGGAACCTGATAATGTGTGGGACACATTCTGACCAGAAACTGGCTATAGATTTCTGTTATAAATACTGGGAACTTTCACAGTTATTGCAAGGCAGGATTTTTACAGAAACAGAGTTATAGTAAGATAAATCAGCATTTAAATCAAACCCAGAATTAGTACTAGAATTTTCTAACCTATTTTCCCCACCTCCTTCCAAAACAGAATTAGAGACCAGGTCTCACAAAATTTCATGTCAACATTTAGAGTCAATTTTTGTTCTAGGGGTCTAAGCTGTTAAAAGAGCAGAGAAAAATCATCCTACATAGTCATCAAAAAGCCCTTCAGATTTTACAACTTCAAAGTCATGAGGTATATATTTTTTTCTTCAAACTTGGCTTATTCTGTAGAACTCAAAAAATTCCAGTGAACAAGCTGCCTCCTTATAAAATCCATTCATTCGCTGCAGTTTAATGACTGTACAATTCTTTCGACTTGAGCATGTTGAATAAGCTAACTTAATAGGTTATTATTATTTTTTAACAAAGGCATGTTCAATGCCATTTTTGAAATTCAGGAAATGACTAGGGTAAGCAATGAGGCATAGAAAAGTTAATCCAAATACATCTAAAAAATAGTAAAGAGCAGAAAAATAGGAATAGAGAAGCAAGTATAGGAAACTGCACTTCAAACTCATCTGAAGTGATTACACTATAGAATTTATCCACAATGTAACCTATAATTTCATTTTTTGCAGTGCTGCCACTTTTCACAGATTTGCTACATATATTTAAATCATATCCTTATCTAAAGTCTCAGACAAGCTGGTATTTGGGTGTTAGACACTTCATATGTCACACTTTCAGCAGGCTGCTGAACACTACAACACTAACATCAGATATTCTGGAACTTCTGCACTTTGCTACACAGTGCTTCAGAAATGTGGCAAAATCTAGCCAAATTCCTGTGTTGGTTCAATGCTAGGAGAAAGAAGATACATTCTAGAAATGACATCAAGTGAAGTCAGACAGTTTCAGTGTACCTGAGGTGCACTGTACTGATATGTAGCACAGCCTACTACCTACCCTGTCTCACTGAAAAAAAATGATGAATCATTTGTATACACTGTCAGTGTCATTTCTATTTGCTATTTTACCTTTTTTTTTTTTTTTCAGTGAGACAGGATTCCTGAAGAGTGAAGGGAAAAAATAGCTTGCCAAATAGAAGAAAAAACAACAGAAGAGGAATGGGATTAAAATAGAACAAAAAAATGGAAGTTAAGTTCTTAGAGCAGGTGTGCATACTCTTGTCCATTTGTGTGAGCTCACAGATACTTTATACAGCATATAAAGAAGAAAAGACCATACTGGAAAGTCACCAAAGAGAAGAAACATGGGTCAAGAAGATTCATATACATGTTATTTGTGAGGAAGTACAATTAAAATGAAGAAATTTAGACCAGTCTTTCCAAATATTAGTTTCTATGAAATCATTAGTTTTTATCAATTTCTTCTTTTTCACTCAGATGAGATAATTAGGACAAATACTTTTGAAGAAAAAGCTGAAAAAGAATTGATAGGACATGAATAAAAAGTGAAGAAAGTGCAGATAATAAATAGCTGTCTCATATTTCTAGAAAACCTTTTATATCTAAGAGAATCAAAGGGCTTTGTAACATTAATTAATTTAGCCTTACAGACCCCCGTGTGGTTGACAAACATTATTATGCCTATTGTACAGATGAGAAAACAAGCAAGGAGAGATTAAGTGTTCAAGGTCATGCAGAAAATCTGTTTCAGAATGAGACTTCTTAATTCCCATCCTGTGCTTAAACACAAGGCGCCTTTATTATTGTAAATAGGCAAATCATGACACACAGGAATCTTCCAAGCCAAAGAAACACGATTGCCTTTCCTAGTACAAGCAGGAGCAAGAAGAATATAATCTTATCTGAAGGATACCTTAGTTAGGGTGGTTCGCTCCCAGTATTCACTGAGCCTTGCCAATGACTGTCTGCCCGTTTCTGCCTACAAAGCCTGGCTTGTGGAGGAAGAGCCCACGTGTGCTATTCCCTGTGCAGCCCCAGTACCAACATCCACTGCTATTTCATAAAGCACGGCCTGGGCACGTACACAGAGTAGATTTTCCAGACCAGTTAAAGCAGTCCGAGAGTAAGGGTTGTAAGTGGAAAGATGCTGGGTTTTGCTGCCTTTGCTGCTGCAGCCAGCTTTGGGTGTCTTTCAGCCATACAAGAGCAGAAGTAAGAGGCAATGCTCCTGTCCAGTAATATCCATTCACAGAACAATATAAGGCAGTACAGGAAGAATGTACCTTGTAGACTGAGAAAGTACATGCTTTTCCACCACTCCTCTTCCTCCCCTCTCCCCCCCC